CAGGTGCGTTCCTGCCTCAGGGCCTTTGCACCTGCTCTTCTCTCTGCCTGGACTGTTCTTCCCCCAGAGACCCATATGGCCCACTCCCTCACCTCCTCCTCCTTCAGGTCTCTGCTCAGATGCCACCTCCTCTGTGAGGCCTCCCCTGTCCATTATATTTAAACCCAAAGCCTTATTCTCACCCCCTTGGACTCTGATATCTCATCCGCCTTCCCTGAAGTATTTTTCTCCACAGTGCTTATCATCTAACATACTATACATATGTTTTACTTCTTTGGCATGTTTATTGTCTATTTCCCTAGAATGTGAGCTCATGAGGTCAGGAATTTGCTTCTATTTTGTCCGCTGCTATATCTCTAGTGCCTAGAAAAATGCCCGACATACAGCACTTGCTTGATAAATATTTTTGTCGAATGGATGAGTAAGGATCTGTCTTCAAGGCTGTTGTTTGTAACCACCATACATTGTGTTCAAAACACTGTGTTGACTCTTCATGTGTTGGCTTCTGATCACATCTCTCTATCTCTCCTGCCCCTGCTAGGGTCTGGGCAAAGAGCCCCTCCTCCCTGGAGTCTGATCTGGCTCCGTCCCAGCCCCTAGACTGGCCCCTTCCCCTCCATCACCTGTTTGATACCTATGTCACTCCCCTGTGTAAAACTCTACAACGACTCCATGTACCTCATAAGAGCCATGTCAGGGTTTTTCTTTCTTTTCTTTTTTTTTTTCTTTTTAAGATTTTTATTTATTTATTCACGAGAGACCCAGAGAGAGGCAGAGAGAGAGAAGCAGGCTCCTTGTGGGGAGCCTGATGCAGGACTCGCTCCCAAGACCTCAGGATCATGACCTGAGCCAACGACAGACGCTAGACCACTGAACCCCCACACTGGGGTTTTTTCATACTGTTGGTCACAACTGGTTAGGGGACTGTGAAACCAACCAACATTTTTCAGTAGAAAAGAACAGATCGGAGTCTGTGCATGTAATGTAGACATAGTATAGACAAAGATATAGGTGAAGTATGATTTCATGAAACTTTTAGTGTTGTATGCATTGGATCATGATATAATATCTCTTATGGTGGGTCAAAACAGTTCACAAAATCCTGCACGTCCATAGTCCTGACTCCTAAATCTCATCCACAGACTGGATGGATAGTATTAGTATCAGCTCAGATTTCTCCCCTTGCTGGCTGGGACCCAGGCCAAGTGGTTTCACCTGCATTGGTTCTTGGACTCCTTGCCACACTCCCTTAAGCACTGTTATGATTCCCAGTTGACAGATGATGAGATGAGGCTCAGGTTGGAGAAAGCCCATGACTGAGGTCACAGGGCTGGGAAGAAGAGCCAACCTGCCTCCCCAGACTACCCACTTGCTGGCTTGCCCTGCCCCTCTCAATCTGCTCCCCATCTACACAGAGCGCTCAGGTTTGCCAGCCCATCCTCAGCCCCCCAGGTGCAAGGGGCCTCACAGATCCTCTGACACCTCAGCCGGTTGTACCATTTGAATTCCCATTTTGCAGGCTGGAAAACAGAAGCTAGCAAGCATTTCCAGAGATCCACCATTCTATCACCCTTCTCCAAATGCCTTTAAGTAGTAGGAGAGAGAGAAATGGCTAAGGCCACATCTTTGATGGCCTGGGTTCAAATATCATGCTTCAAAACTGTGTGATCTCAGACAGCATCTCTGGGCCTCAGTTTCCTCTCCTGCAAAATGGGAATAATAATAGTACTTACCCATAAGGCCATGCTTAAGACTGAAATAAGTTGGAATACATGCAGAGTTCTTAGATCAGCAGCCACACCCATTTGTTGAGAATCATCCCAACAGCCCTATGTAATTAGATTACTATGTGCGCCCCAACATTGTTGCAGAGACGCAGAGGCCCTTGCCTGAGTTCATCCAGCTAGAAAATGGGAGAGTGAGAATTTGGATGCAGATCGGGCTGGCCTTTTAGCCACTGAGTCACAGTAGCCCTTGGGGTATTAGTATTGACAGCAACAGCAGGAACATTTTCCAAATTAAGAAACATGAGACTCAGAGAGGGTAAGGACAGGCCCAAGTCACACAGCATGTGCATTTCAGAGCCAAGATTCAAACCCTCAAAGTCTTGTGTGCGTCCAGGAGCAGGCTGACCTTTGCCCCATGAACCCCTCCATAAAGCTCTAATGGAGCAGGAAGAAAAAGCAAGTTGAGGGGTGTTCTTGCTTCAGCTTGGTCTGGAGGGTCTTGTATCCTTGGCTCCAGCCTCTACCCACCCTAAGGTGGCTGCTTTCTTGAAGGCCCTGGGGTGGAGGTAGTGGGGTGGCACGGATGATGGCAGAGGGTGCAGCAACCCCCTCCTCTGGCCTCTGATTGGGGCCCTGCAATCCCCCAGGATTTGGTGCTTGGAAAGCTGACGTTAGGTTGCTATGGCAATGGGTTTGGGGCGGTTGCCATAGCAGCAGAACTAGCCTGGGTTTAAAAATATCTAGGAGGAGGTTTGTGTTTGTGTGTGAGTGTGAGTGCGTGACCAACCGTGCTGCCATGTGTGTCCAAATGGGAGGGTTTGTGGGGGGCGGTGAGCTGGGGCTGCAGGCATGACTTGGGGGTGAGGGCTGACCAATACTTGGGATTCCGTGTGTGTCCTGCATGTCTCTGAGTGGCCTGTGAGGTCCTGTGCATTTTGTGCATTAGACTATGAGAACCATGTATCTAAATGTGTGTGATTATCCCATTTGTGTGGAAGGCAGGATTGGGTCTGTTTGTCAGTATATATATCACATGTCACTAACATGTATGCCTTATGTAACATAGGCTGTTTATGTCTTATGGCTTTGATCATGTAACTTCTCAGGATGTGTGTGACCAAGTGTGGAGTTATTTTGGCTTTGAATATGTGCACCTGGGACATACTCGGATATCAGATGTGTGTCTATCTATTTTTGCATGAGAGCCTGTGACATATATGGTCCACATGACTGAATGTGCATTATGCATTATGGGTAAGTGTGTGTGTGTGTGTGTGTGTGTGTGTGTGTGTGTGTGTGTACCTATCCCCATGAGAATTCTTCATATATCAGAATGTGCCCATGTGAAACTGTTGAGTATACACCTGTGTGTCTGCAGGAGGGCTGGCATGACTACGTGTGTGCTGGGGATGTGGAGCTTCATGCCAGACCCCATGGATGTTGGGATATGTACCTGTGTGGTGTGAGTATATGTGAATCAAAGAGTCTAAGGTGTGGATCTGACCCCAGTGCTTCCCTGCATCTCTCTTGCCTCTTCCTTGTCTCCATAGCAACTAGCTCCTCAGCTCCCTCCAGGAAGATGGAGGGGGAGGATCCAGACTGCAGTGGACCACAACCCCCTCGAATCCCCCTTGGCTCCGGGGACAATGGGGGGGGAGGGGACAGATGGGAGGCCACTTCATCCTCCCCAGGCCATCTGCTACCCTCCCCATCCCAGGGACCTGAGAGCATGGCAAGGGAGGGGTAGGAGTGGGATGGAGGAGAGGGAGGGGCCCCCCAGCTGCCACAGTTACCCCCACCCAGGCCCCTCTGAGCCTAATCTTGCGTCTGACTGACCTAGGGAAAACCCTTGAAGACAAGGAATTCAGGGAGCAGAAAATTCATGTATCCGAGAGCACTGAATATTAGCAATGATCCACTCCAAGGAAGGGGCCCCTACTTCAGGTTCTGGAATTAAGCTTGTTCTGTGTTCAAATCCCAGTCTCCCTTCTGTCTGTCTCTCTGTGTGCCTTTGGAGGAACCACACTCCAGGTTCCTGGGTGTCCGCTTTGTTGTCTGAAAATCAGGTTTTCTTAATGACAGGAGTAGTAATACTTAGTCTTCAAGGGCCGAGACTGCTTTGTTCCCTGTTGTATCCCAGCGTTTGGGATAGTGCCTGACACTTAGTAGGTGATTTGTAAGTGCTCTTGATTGACCCGAACACCAACTGGATTTAGATTGTTAAACTCTGCTCTACACCCTTAATAGAGGTATTCACTGAACTCAATCCCCAGAGCCCTTGCAGTAATCCTGTGTTGATTCTTCAAGGGAAGGATGAAAGATTTGTGGGGGGAACTTCTCAGCTGTCAGAGGTGGGAGACATGTGAAGTGAGATTTCTTATCTCGACCAAGTGACGACAAGTCTCTGAGGTTTAGTTTCTTTCTCCATAAAATGGGAAAGGAGAGTAAGAGTTGCTTTGGGAATTAAACGTAATAAGGTTAGTGAGGCGCTTATTTAGACCTGGACCTGGCACACAGTAAGTGCTCAATAAACGTACGTTACGGGGCGGGGGGGCCGGGGGGGAGGAAAGGTGTGAACGAGCCCTGGGTCCTTCTCGGAGCCTTGGAGAGCCTGGTCCATCTCCCAGCTGCGGGAAAGGGCGTGGTCAACTCAGAGGGCGTGGTCCAGGCTTCAAGGACAGACCAATGGGGGCGCCGAAGGGCGCGGCCCTGACCGGCATGGGCGTGGCTTTGATCGGGTGGGAGGGGCCAGGCCGCTGTGGGAGCCTCCGGGAAGAAGATGCTCGGGCCAGCAGCCACCGCCAGCCCTGCCGCCGCTGCCGCCCGCACTCGCCGCCCCCCGGGTCCCCACTAGCGGCTGCCTCCGCCTCCCACCTCCGGTCCCGCTCCTCCGGCCCCCCGCCCGGAGCAGGGTCTGGGGGGCTCGGCCCTCCACCGGGGGAGCAAAGAAGGGGGTCCCGACCCCCCCCAGTGGCGCGGCCAGTCCCTGGCCTCGGTGATCTTGAGAGAGACCCCACCCCTCAGTTCTCTCCGGGCCCTATCGGGGACCCCCCTTGCCCTCCCGTCCTGCTCACATCCGTTCTCCAGGCTCTGTCAGCCCCCCAGAACCAGCTCCCTCCCTCTTTCCCTCTCCGGGGTTCCCCCTCCCCCATCCCGCCGCCGCCGCCCCCTCCCCCTCCCACATCCCCTTCCCTCCCCCTCCCCCACCCCCGTCCCCCGCCCCCCCCCCCCCCCGACCATGAGGATGATGGCCGCCGGCGCGGTGCACGGCCTCTTCACGGCCTCCGCGGCCCCGCAGCCGCCGCCGCCCCCGCCGCCGCCGCCGCCGCAACCCCAGCCTCCCCAGCAGCCGTCGCCGCCGCCACAGCAGCCGCCGCCGCCGCCGCCGCAGCCGCCGCAGCAGCAGCAGCCGCCGCCCCAGGCCCCCCCCATGGAGCCCGAGGCCCCGGATTCCCGCAAGAGGCCCCTCGAAACGCCCCCCGAGGTGGTCTGCACCAAGCGCAGCAACACGGGAGGTGAGAAAGGGTTGCGGCTCGGTGTAGGGGAGCGGGCAGGGGGCCTCGCCTTTCTCCATCCTCCTCCCCCCGCCGTGGCAGGTGCAAGGGCTCTGGGGCGGGGAAGGGCGCCCCTCCCTAGACCGGGGAGCTGAGAGGGGCGTTGGGGAGGGGGCCGGACCCCCTCCCCCTCTCGCCGCTGCCCGGGGCTGGGAGCTTTGTCTGCGATGAGAGGGGGTGGGGGGGAGGGGGTGGTAAGTGTCCTTGGGGGGCGCAAAAGGATGGGGGGCGTGGGTCCCTCTGGGACGGGCGTCTCTGTGTCCTTGAGGGGTGTGTGATGTGACCCTTTCGGGGCAGGGGTGTTCCCGAGCTGGCGTGTCCTGGCGGGGGGGAGGGGAAGGAGTAGAGGAGGCCTGTGGACCCGGAGCTTCCCAGCCTCCCTCCTTGGGGATGTCCTGAGCAAGGGTTGTCCCAGAGGGAGGCACGAGTGGGCCATGGGCGAGAATTGTGCGTGGGGACAAGCTGGGTGGGTGTGTTGGGTGAGATGGAGGAATGGGTGGGTGTGTAAAGCCAGGTGGAAGAATGTGTGGCTGGGACAGGTGTGTGTGTGTGTGTGTGTGTGTTTGTGTGTATTTGCGCGCGTGGGCCCTGTAAGGCCTGGGTGTGTGACATTAGGGATCATGGATATGACAGGAAAGAAGGTGTGTGTGTGTGTGTGTGTGTGTGTGTGTGTGTGTAAGAGACAGGGTGAGATGAGAGGCTGGGCTCTGTGTTTGAGACCCTCAAAGGGGTATGTGTGGCAAGGGAAAGTGTGTGCATGTCACCCTAGAGGGGGCTGTGGCGGTGTGACACATGAGTGAGAGGGTGTGTGTGACATGCAAGGGGGTGTGTGGGGGAAGCTGAATGGGCCGGCTCTGGGTGTGAGCCATGAGAGGCTGTGTGGATCAAAGAAGGCAGTTCAGTGTGTGTGACACAGGCGTGTTTGGGGTGGGGTGAGACCAGAAGAAGCTGGTGAGGGTATGTGACAAGGAAAGGGTGTGGGTGTGACTCCAAAGAGGCCGTGGCTGGGTGTGACACATGGAGGTGTGCAACAGTGACATCAGAGGGGGTGTGTACGACAAGGGAAGGTGAGTGTATGATGGGGAGAGGTTAGGGCTCTGTGGGTGAACTGCACGAGGGTGTGTAACAAGGAGAAGGAAGGATGGTGCCCGTGTGACAGGGAAGAGAGAATGTGTGTATATGACACCCAAGGGGTATGAAAAGGGAAGGGGTGTGTGTGCATGTGTGTATATATATCTATAACAAGGGGAGGGTGTGTGAGTGAAATGGTTGAGTATGTAACACTAGAGATGTGGGAGTGATTCTGTGTGTGTGAGAGAGACAAGGGACTGATTCTGTGTGTGTGTGCGTGTGTGTGAGGTCTGAGTGTTTGACAACACAGAAGGTGTGCGCGTAGGAGACAGGAGGGCCCCTCACTGTGTGTGTGACCCGAGGAGGTATGTGTACCAAAGAATAAAAGACGAGCTGGGAACTCTAGTGGGTGTCTCTCGGGCCAGGGACTCAGGAAGGAGGTAGGGATTCTCGGAGACTCAAAACTCAGCCTATTAACTCCCTGGATGGAGGGAGACCCCATAGCAGACAAGCCCCTCCCTGCGGTCACCTTGGCCAAAATCTGCTTCCTCTGGCCTTTTCCTCCGGATGGGAGAAGGATGGCCTGGGCCAGAGTGCACGCTCCGGTCTCCACCAGGCCCTGTAGTGGGTGGGGTGGGGACCTCTCACCTCCTCCGCTCAATGGAACACAAGCCAAGTCTCTTTCCTCCACGCCAGCAGCCCCCCACACTCCTGTCCAGGTGGGACCGGAATTGGGGACCCCCTGGCTGCCTGAGAGGGGGTGTCCAGCAGAAATTGAAGGAAAAGGAAGTTGGGGGAGGGGTGGGAGGGAGTTTCCTGTCCTTCTTCCTGCCCCCCCCAACCCCCAGCACACACATGAATATGTCCCAGCCACTTCCTTCCTTCTTCCTGCCCCACTGCCATTCCCAGTCCTGGAGAGAGTCGGGGACCCAGGCGGTCTTTGAGCCTGACCTGACAGCCCAGCCCTGCCCCTGCTTGGGGGGAGGAAGGTGTCTCATCCTTCTTTTTAAGGGGCTGAGATGCCCCAAATCTGACTGCTCTGAGCAGCACAACCTAACAATAGCGATGCTGCCAAGGACGGTCAGGCCCGAGTCCTCGGCACCTACTCCAAGTGAGGCTCTGAGATATGGGTTATTTCCTAATACGGTCCTCTGGGGGAGATGATTTGAGCTGCTTTTTCACAAGAGGAAACCAGGCTCAGGGAAATAAAGCCACTTGCCCAAAGTCACACAGCTCATAAGTTGGTGGAACGGGGATCTGTTCAACCCTGGTTCCAGAGCTCATGTGCTTAACCACTGTGCTTTCTGCCTCCCTCGGCAGCGGGGAAAGTAGGATGAGCCCACAGGGACCCTCTCCTGCAAGCTCTTCCACCTCTCCTCTGGGTGACCTGTGGAGAAACTGAGGCCTGCAGAGGCAAAGGGATGGTCCTCCATTTACAGAAACACTCAAGAGGCAGCATTGGGCAAAGATCCAGGACTCTCATCTCAAAATTGAGGGCTCTTTGCAATAACACTGTCGTGACTGGGGGATGCTGGGTCAACCTCACCCCCTTCCTGAGCCTCAAGAGTCACCATCTGTCAGGTGGGGAAATCTCAATAACCACAACGATAGTAGTAATAACCACTACCGATATCATTGCTCACTGCTTTATAAGCAGTATTTCATGTAATTCTCCCAACACTCTATGATGTAATAATCAACAATAATAAATTATAATACTGGCTAATATCTCTGGCCTGTGGCGCGCCAGGAAGTATTATGGAAAATGCTTGGCACAGACCAATCATTGAATCCGTACAATTCTTTTATGTTACCCTTCTTAACAGATGACAGACTGACGCACAGAGAAGTTAAATAACTTGCCCCAGGTGGGTCAGCAAATAAGAGGCAGAGCTGGGATTTGAACCCCGGGAGGCTGGCTCATGATGTGGGTAGACACTGTGGTGAACCCCATTTTGGGGTGAGGAAGCTGAGGCTCAGGGGGTGGAGGGAGTCTTCTAGGGTGTCACAGCAGGTCGTGGCAGACAGGGCAGATTGAGCTCTTGCCTGCAGCACCAGCCTGCCACTCCTGGCCATTCTTGGGCGGCTGATAGAGGAGATAGGGGTCATTCCAACTGATGTCCAGGCACTGTGGCCAACAGACACCATTGGGAGGGAGACAAGGCACCAAAGCACAGGAGGATTTGGGTAAAAGAGGTTGAATGGAAACTCAGGTTAGGAACTTATCAGAGAGATAACTAGTCTGGCTGTAGGACAGTAACAAAGGATGTCCCCCCACCTCCCTTGAATACAAGTGAAACTCTTAAGGTGCCACTAGTATGGCATACTCCTGACTGGCATACTCCCACCTCTGTCACCCCCATGTGTACAGAAACCACAACTTCCCTCCCCACGTACACACACACATGCGCACCAGTCACACCCCAACTAGCTACCAGCTGCCAATCCTCACTCCCACTATCCTCGCTGCTTAACATAAAGACAGTGTCGCAGGGGTTAAGAGCCTGAGAGTGAGATCTTCTAGGGTTTATCTCCTCCCTGCCGTGCTCATGGTGTGGGACCCTGGGCCACCTTATTTCACTGCTCCAAGCCTCAGTCTCCTCATCTGCAAAATGGGAGCCGTGAGATCTGCTACTTACCACGCCAGACTGCTATGTAGGGTTAAATGAGACTTTATATGTGAGGCTGTCACACTCACACATATGCGTATCAGTACACAAGAGCTGTCATTACATTGTTATCCATCCCATGGAGAATGCCACCAGGGGCCTGTCACACCATCCAGCAGTGCTTCCCGCCCCCCCCCCCCCGAGGAAATCCTACCCAGCCACCTTTCTCTCACTCAGAGACAGTGTCACAGCTCAAAGACGGTGTCACACTTTCGACATGCCGTCCCCTGGAAGCACGTTGTACTGCATTTCTCACACCAGACCGCTTTGCACACCTGCCGTCCCCACCCTCTTGAGCGGTACTGCTCCCGCCACACTCCACCAGGTCTTGTCTTCCACCGACAACATCCCCATACACTCCCGCGACAACGTCAACATCACACCCCAGCTGCCTCACACCTCTGTGGAACACACCGACACTTCCGGTCCCAACCCGCAAATCAGAGCGGGTCCCACGAACAGACACCCCAACTTTGGTTCCCCCTAGACCTCCTGACACCGAAGTCACCTCTACAACACATACCACACCCCTTCTGCTCTACCTTTGTCATGAATGACCTCCCCCACCTTTATTTTTTTAATGTTTTTTTAAAAGATATTATTTATTCATTCATGAGAGACACACAGAGAGAGGCAAAGACATAGGCAGAGGGAGAAGCAGGTTCCCTGTGGTGAACTTGATGGGGGACTCGATCCCAGGACCCCGGGATCATGAGCTGAGTCGAAGGCAGATGCACAACCACTGAGCTACCCAGATGCCACCCCCACTTAAAGCTGCCTTTTAGTGTCAACTCTCTGATCAAAAGTGCCACTCTTACCACGGCACCCCAAATCTCTTGGGTAAGTCCACATTATTTCAGGGGACAGGGGTATTGGATGCCTTTTGGAAACTCCAGAAGCATTGCTGAAGAAGGTAGGCACAAAAGGGAGGGTAAGACTAGAAGAAGGAGTGTTTGACATTGTAGCAGGACGAAAACCATCTGGAAAGCAGAAGTGGGCATCTCTAGTTCTCTGTCATGGTCGTGGGTAAAGGGAGCTTCCTGAACCCAGAGGGAAAAGCTAGGCGGGGGGTGGAGGTAGGTGGGTGCAGAGTTCTGGCATTTAGATTCTACTTCAGTAGAAGGAAGAACTTTTTCACAGGCAGAGCCTTGGTTGCTCAAACTGGCTGGGAGTGTGTGAGGTCTGGGGGAGCTCTGGGTTCGGTTCAGGGTATGTGTCTCCCCTTGCTGCCACGCAGGCTGGGAAAAGAGAGGCCTGGCTTTTTCCTGGGGGAGGTGGGACTCACACAGGGATGGGTGAGTGAGGGTTAAAAGCAGGCGGAGGGGAGTGCTTCCCAAATGGGAAAGACGTGAAGAGGATTCTAAAGAGGGTCAGAGCAGTTTGTTGGCCACAGTTGGGGGGACTTGTGCCCTGAGTTCTGAGCTTGTGCAGGTGGGAGGTCCCACCTAGTCGTTCTCTGTGGGAGGCTGGCCTCAGGTTGAGGCTCCCAATTTACACTAGTCTGATACAGGGATCTTTGAGCACCCATAGGTGGCTTAAGCAGTCCCTGGACAAACTTTTTTTTTTAAAACCATGGTATGTTTATATCATATGTCCTGGAGGGGAAAACATAACGAGCCTTCAAACTCTGATTATTAGCAGTGGGTTTTAAGTGTCCTCTTTAAATAGATGCATTTAAATTTTATTTTATTTTATTTTTTGGATGCATTTAAATTTTAAAAGCGAGTGGGCTTGAAGGAATGGACTGTCTCGCTCCCTGCTGTGTCATCAGCACCTAAAACAAAGCCTGGCAGAGAATGGGTGCTCAGGAAGGGTTTGCTGGAGGATGGGAGGGAAGGGGGAGAGAAGGAAGGAAACTGTACCGAGGGCATACATCAAGGGTAAAGGCAAGAGGTGGCATGAGAAGGAAGGTAGTCAGAGAGATGCTGGGCGTCCAGAGAAAAGAAGGGGGAGCAGGGTCTCGCTTCCATCAGTGAGAGCTCATTCCTCTTCCAAGAAGCAGAGAAAGGCCAGGGACATCCCTTAGGGTGCATGTGATGAAGGAAGTGGGGGTCTCCCCTTCTTCTCTCATCGCCCAACAAAAACCTCAGACCTTAGAGGCTCGTCTCCCCACTTGTAGAGCACATACCCTGGGCCAGACACTGTGACAAGAACTTTGCTTGTGTTCCTGACGTCAGTGATAATCACACTGATGGTGGAGGTAATGACATCTAGTGTTCCTCAAGTGCCTCCATGTGCCTGAGACCATCCCGAGTACTTTACGGTTTATCATTTAATTAATTATGGAGCGCGTTTTACAGATGAGAATACTGAGGCCCAACGAGGTGAGGTGGTTTGCCCAAGGCCAGGCGGCCCATCCTGGCAAAATTCACACTCAGTTTATGGCTGTTTCTGCTGTTTCATATGGGGATTCCTGGGGAAGGCTAAGACGGAGAGCACAGGAAATGGGGTAGGGAGGCATACCCAGTTTTCTTCAGAGTAGATGAATATCTTCTACATTCAAGGAGGAAGTTGGGGAAGAGACCTTGGCTGGAGAGAAGATAGGGAATGAAGTCAAAGAAGGAAAAAGAGGATGGAGTCCTTGTGAGAACACCCTCCTCCTCTTTCTGAGCCTTTCAGGGATAGAGGACTGGTCCTCCACCTCTGTGACAGGTTTAGGGGCCGGAGCAGGCAAGAGGCTGCCTCTGTGAGCCCAGGGAAGAAAGTGAATTCAGGGGGCTCAGGATGATTGATGGGAAGGCCCTCTGGGGGGCTAATTACCTAATAGGTTTAATGGTCTGATGAGGCAAGTTTAAGAGGATTGCCTTGGGCTCAGGGCATCCCCTTCATTCTGGACCCCCCTCGCCATACCAGCGAAGCCCCGTCCAGCCCCTCGCCCCCATACCCCCACCTTAACACACCAGGGAGTCCAGAACCTTCAATCCTAAGGGATCAGGAAGAGATGGGCAGGGCTCCTGGCCCCCCTGCCCTGCCCCCACTTTCACCAGAACAGTTTCTCTTTTATCTGCTCTGTGTGGTGGAGTTTCATGTGAGACATTGAAAATAGGTTTCCTTTGCTTAAAAGAAAAAAAAAAATTTAAACCACTGGGGGATGGTTTAAGACCTTAAGCTTTGGTAGCAGAATGGCCTGGCTCCTCCCTTCTTTTCCCCAGTGTTTTTATTGCATGCCCACTATGTGCTGGGACATGGCATGAGTCCCTGGGACACAAAGGTGAGCTCCAGGGGACGTCTGATATGTTGCTCTGAAGGCATGAAATGAACGGGAGGGGATCTATCTCCTCCTCAGAGTTCAAGGAAAGCTTCCAAGAAGAAGCAACATTCGAGTGGGGACCTGAAGGACAAGAGGAATTCACTGGGGGAGGACAGTTCCAAGTAAAAAGAATGTGCAAAGGCCCTGAGGTGGATGGGAGGAGGGAACACTTAACAAAGAGGAAGTATGTCTGATGCTTATAGAAGAAGATGAGGACCTGAAGCTGGAAAGAACTGCAGGGCCAAATCATAGAGGCTCTTATACGGAGAAGATTCCACAATTTCTACCCTCTGAGCAGTTGGGGACAACAGTTGGGTTAGAAGGTTGGGCATGTAGGGATCCCTGGGTGGCGCAGCGGTTTGGCGCCTGCCTTTGGCCCAGGGCGCGATCCTGGAGACCCGGGATCGAATCCCACGTCGGGCTCCCGGTGCATGGAGCCTGCTTCTCCCTCTGCCTGTGTCTCTGCCTCTCTCTCTCTCTCTCTCTGTGACTATCATAAATAAAAAAAAAAAAATTAAAAAAAAAAGAAGGTTAGGCATGTGCCTTGAGTGCATTGACAAAGCATTTTACACATGACCAAGAAAATTAGTCCCTAACAGAGAATGGCCACAGTCCCAAAAGTGACCACTGGCACCACCTCACCACCCCTGGGTCTTGGGGACTGTCCTTGACTACATTGGTCTTCAGCCACCAACATCGGAAGGTGTTAAGCAAGTGAGGGCCAAGAATGAAGCAGAACTGCATTGGGATCTCATGCCAGGGACTTTCTTGGTGCCCTTGAGCAATTGACCTTGGGCTGGTGCCTTCACGGACTCTGTGCCTCAGTTTCCTCCCACGTAAAAATGGGGCTTGTTATACCCACCTCATTGGTGGGTAGGGAATGGTTGAGGTCAAGCTTGCAAAGCACTCAGCACAGTACAGGGTCCATACTGAGTGTTGAGAACATCTCTGGATATTCTCCTCCGGATCCCTCCTCCCCCACCCACCCCTAGATGGCTCCACCAGTTAGACTGCCACCACCTCCTACCTTGTGGGCATCAGTGGGATCTTCTGGAAACCTAAGTCAGATCCCATCTCTCCACTGCTCAGGGCCCTCCCATGGTTCCCATTTCACTCAGAGTAAAACCAAAGACCTCACTATGGCCCACAAACCTCAACACTCAACCACTGCCACCACCTCTCTCAGCCCTCATCCCCTTCCACTCTCCACCTGTCATCTTCAGCCCTAGCTACACTGGCTACCTCACTTTTTCTTGGACACCTCTGGCCCAGTCCCACCCCAGGGCCTTTGCACTTGCTCTTCCACAGAGCCTCATGGTTCCATTCCCACCTCCACAGCCTGGACAACAATCAGTCATGAGGGTCCAGAGCCGGGAATCTAAAGCCAGGTTACAAAGTACTTCTTTCATAGCATCAGTGGGAAAAGTAAAAGAACTGATATTTGTATAGTACTTGAAACAGAGTCTAGTGTATACTAGGTTCTGTAGAAGTGTTTGTTAAACAAAGAATACCACATTCTTGGGGAGGGCTTTCCTGGCCACCGGATCTGACACTGCCGCCTCTACAAGCCCCCGTCCCTTCTCCTGTCCCTTTTTGTTTTTGTGGAGCTTAACCGCCATCCAACATAAAACATACTGTCTGTCTCCCCCCTCTAGAAGAATGTAGCTGTGTGAGCTCTTGGCTGAATCACTGAAACTCTCTTGGCCTTATTTGCCTCATTTGCCTGCAAAATCAGGGAGTTTGTCTGTTTTCCTCATGGCTGTTTCACTAAAACAGTGCCAAGCGTGTGGCAGCAGGTGCTCAGCAACTATTCGTGGAATGAATTAATGAATGAATGAATGAACGAGTGAATGAATGAAGATCATTAGTTGTATTATCTTCCCTACTGCTATTCTCATGGTCATTGCTCCTATATGTTCCTGTGACGCCACTGGTTTCCTAGGCCCACACCAGGCTGAAGGTGGAGACCCACCCCCTGACTGCCCTCCCCCCTCCCCCTGTGCCCCTGCAGAGGAAGGCGAATACTTCCTGAAGGTGCTGATCCCCAGCTACGCGGCAGGCTCCATCATTGGCAAGGGCGGGCAGACCATCGTGCAGCTGCAGAAGGAGACAGGAGCCACCATCAAGCTCTCTAAGTCCAAAGACTTCTATCCGGGTGAGCCCTGGCCCAGGACTCTGCCCTTGGCCTCCTGTCCCTCCCACCTGGGCCGTGGATAAGGGGGAAGGGCTGCCCTTTGGGCAGTCGTGGTGATGGGGGGGCCTCCCCTCCTTCTAAGGGGACAGAGCTGCCCTCAGCCCCAGAGGCCGGGCCTGAGCAGATGGGGGTGGGGGCAGGGCCAGACAATGGGCCTGCTGCATATTCATGAGCTCATTTGCATGATGTGCTGGCAGATGTGCCCCTTCCCACACACCTGCCCCTTTGGGTCAGTTGGAGTTGCTGGAGGGGGGCGGGCAGGGAGGCAGGTGTCAGGGCGTCCCTTGGGGTTGGGGGGACAGCCAGCCGTGTTGCACATTCCCCACACACACGCACTTCTTCCTCCCCAGCTCTTTCCCTTTGGATTTCTGTTACCCCATCTTGCCCAGTTTGAGGCTCCCTGGTTTTCTCGGTGTCGTTCTTCCTATGTCTCTCTCATTCTGTTTCTGACTTTCCCAGCTCTTGCTCCCTGAGTCTCCATTCCCATCCGCCTCTCTCTGGCTCCTCCTGTTCTTCTTTTTGCTTCTGTCTCTGATTCTGTTTGGATATACTCCCCACCTCTCGCTCCCATCGTTCTGTCTTGTCCATCTCTACTTTTCCACCTCTCTCCCTCCTTCTCCTCCCCGCCCCCTGCTTCTTGTCTTCCCACGCCTCGCCCCATATTTTCCTTACCCCTCACCTCTTATAATCTCATGCTTTTCTTTCTCTGGTCAGTCAACCAATATTGAGTAACACCCCCTCAACCATCTGCTGGATCGCCCCTTATTTCTTCCTGCCTTGACTCACCCATCCCTTCCTTCATGCTTCCTTCCCAGTCTCAGGCCCCATGAGCCTTTTCTTTCCTTTCTCCAAACCCAGCCCCTCTTCTGCCTCCCCTCTAGCTCTCACTTTCTCTCCCCACAACCATAACATCTCCAAGTCCCCTCCATTCCCTCTATTGCCCCTTGCATATCTGTCACCCCTCCATGACTCCCTCCCAAGACCAATGCCTGAGCTTCAACATCTAGAGATGTCCTCCAGGGAGGGCCCCCAGAATTGCACCTTTGGTCCAGAGCTGATTCTAGTTCATCCTTAATCCCCTTGGATTTTTTAGGTCAAATACCAGAGCTAGAGTCCAGGGTCAGAACACATTCATATTCTCTCTCTCTCTCTCTCTACCCCTCCTCCCTTCACCCGCCCTGCCTCCCATCTCACTAAGCAGCTTTGGCAAGAGGTTTAGAGAACTGTCCAGGGAACCAGGCACCCCACCCAACCCCCCTTTTCTCTTCCATCCTGGCCCAGTTTCACCCACATGCCCCCTTCGGCCACAGATATGGATAAGACCTCTGCTTGGGGGCATTTATCTGAGGATACTTGGTTCCTTATCCCTGGATCACATTCTGTGACATGAGACACATCATCTCCTCCCAACTCAGTGACACACCCCAAAGGCCAGGCAGCTGAGAACCCCAGAGAATGGGACAGTCAATGGCTTTCTTGGGCCAAATACTATTCAAACAAGCAACGTGATCCAGCATCTCTCCCCAACACCAGGACATGCATCCACCTCCACCCCCAATTGCTGACATGGAATTTCCAGATCATATGGCTTGTGCCGGCTCCTGACTCAAAGATGCAGGACACGGCCCCCTGTGTCCTAGTCCTGCCCCCTAGGACTTCCTAGGACCCACAGGAACATAAGAAATGAAGAAATGTTTCAAGAAATGCTTGAAACAAAGAGTGTATTTCCCTCTACTCCTGGCTAACACCCTTTCATTCATTCATTCAAGCTACATTCTCTGAGCACCTCTTCTATGGACAGAGATGAGGACATAGCAGTGACTGAACTATCCCCCCCCCTTTTCCCTCCCAGATCTCACAGCCCAGTAGGGAAGACAGACTGAACACCAGCAATGACCTAGTGTGGTCAGGGCTAGGACGGGAAGCCCAGAGGATGGTGGCAGCCCAGATGGGGCACCTGACCCAGTCTAGAAAGGTGAGGGAGGGCTTCCTGGAGGAGGGGCCCAGAACAATAAGTAAGAGCGAACTAGATAAAAGCAGGGAAGCGTACTCTAGGAAGATGAAGTAGCATGTTCAAAGGCTGGTGGGGTAGTTTATTCATTGTGACTGAAGCATACAGAACAGATGAGAAATGACAATGGCGAAACACACAGACAGATGGACACACACGCACCCACACACACTGCATTTGTGTCTACTACATGAAACAAAAACCTACCTGACCCTTAACCCCAAGGGAGGGGCAAAGCACAAAGGGTGTCCCCTCCTTGGTACAGGAAACTCCAAGCCCCAGACTCTATCCTTCCAGATCATGCATGGAGATCCCATGGAGATCTCAGAAACTGAGACCCAGAAAGAAGCAGGTATCTGCCCAAAGTCACACAGACTTCCGTACATCCACCCAGACACCTTAGTGATTCTAAAACGCCTTCTGATTTTGAGCATTTGCCTGAAGCTGTCCCCAGAAGAAAAACACAGATACACATACTTTTTTTTCAATGTATTGATTTCTAACGATATTGCCGTAAAGTACAAAATCTTAAGTGATTACTTAATAAATCCATGTATATTCTTTTTTACTATCAAAAATACAGTAGCAAAAAGTGGAGTTGTCTTATGCCTTCCTCCCAACATACACACAAACACACACACACTCCAGCCACCCCAAATTTAGCCCAGGGTGAGCTCTGTGTTTAAAAGTCCAAACTCTGAAGCCAGACACCTGCGTTCAAAACCCTGAACTTTCACTATTGGCTGAGTGAACTTGGACAAATCCCAAACCTTCTCTGTGCCTCAGTGTCTTTAGCAGTAAATCAAGAATAGTAATATTGCCTACCTCATACATTAAGTGCACAAATATATACAAAGTGCTTAGAATATTGCCTAACACTTGGTATTTTGTAAGCACCAGCTATCATTATTGGACATTCTTTTGAGGGTTAACTGAGCCCCTGAAAGCCCTTGGGGAGCCCACTTAAGAACTACAAAGGGTGGGAAGTCACAGACTCCCTGAGCTGGAAGGGAGCCTCGCAGAAATGGGAGTGCAGAGCCACTTCAGCCAGGCTCTCCCTAGGGCCTCCCTGCCCCCCCACCCCGAGTTCCCACCCTGACCCACACCCTTTCCTATTTACACCCAGACGGAGGCAGCCTGCACGCTGACTCACCCTTGGCTCAGACCAGTCCATTGTTCTGGGGTTGGGGGGAATAAGTGAGGAACAGCAGCCCAGAGGAGATGGGGGATGTCAACTTACACTAGTGACCCAAGACAGTGACACCCAGGCACATGGTGAGACTGGCATGCCAGGCTGAGAGATGGCAAGTGAGAGGTTAGACTGGTAGCAACAACATGCTGTATTAGAACACCCACAGGAGACTGGACCTTCACCCCCAAATGTCCCAGATGCTCAGGCACATGGAGCCTGGCACACACTCAAGAGCCAGGGAGCTAAGTGGTCCTGTAGGCAGAGTCCCACCCAGAGAGAGACAGACACTCACTCCACACACCAAACATGCCCAGCTCACCCAGGCATGCACACTGTCACACCTGCTGGTCACGATAGAGCCGTCTTTGTACAGCTAAAATGCACACACACAGGCACACACACACACAGGCACACACATACATACACACATCAGTCATCCGGTCTTACATGCTGACACTTGAGTCTGCCTGTCTATCTCTCTCTGTCTTTCTCACATTGACACATACCAGTCATACAGTCTTGTCCATCTGTCTCCTGTACACAGGTTTATGCACATATACACATGTACCACACACCAGTCATTCCAAAGAGTCTTTTGAACACCTAAAGGTGTCTGGTTGTCTGGTTGTCTCTTTCCTGACAACACTCACACTGACATCCAGTCTCAAAGTGATATACATTCATCATACAGCCTCAGTGCTGCTTCATGAGATTCTTTGTTTCTTTCTTTTAAACTCTCCTGTACAAGCAGCTCAGTCTGGCAAATAGTATCCATAACCTTGGAGATCACAGTGACACCCAGAGTCTTTCCCATACGCAAGAGTGCACTGGATTCACCATGTCACACGGTTGATATCTCAAGCTCTCCCACTCTTTCTCTTATACACATACACAAATAAGGATAATTTAGCTAGTCCTGCCCAGGTATACACATGCATGTACGCACATGCATGCGCGCACACACACACACACACACACACACACACACCACTCACCCAAACAGTCTCACAGATACATTCGTACTGGTCAGAGTGTTGCCCAGAGTCCCTGTCCCACACACATATATCCCAACACCATCCAGAGTTGGCTTCTCTTCTGCCTCCCTACCTCAAGTATACACACACACACACACACACACACACACACACACAGTAAGGATGCCTAGGTTAGAACCGCAGCCAAAATCTAGACAATCTCCAGCAAAGGCATCCACCCCACCCTCCTTTCCCCATCCCTGAGTCCCTACCCTTCCTACCCACAGTAGAGTTGCCTCTGCTCTCTCCTGTCCACACCCTTGCCCTCCCCTCCCCTTCCCCCCTCCATCTGGTGGGTCCAGGCGGGCACTCTGGCCTCTCTTCTGTCTCCCCCATCCCCCAGCCCTTCCCCATCCTCTCCAAAAGCCCAGAGGCCTTCGCTGCAGGCTTTCAGGGGTTGCCACAGCAACGAGGCTTCGTCCCTCATCCCCCTGGGGGTGGGCTGAGGACCCGGCCAGCCAGACCGATAAGGGGGTTCCAGTTACTGTGGCAACGGTTGCAGGCCTGAGCTCTCGGCTTCTAGGGTTGGGGGGGGGGAGTGAGTGAATGGTTGCCAGAGCAACCGGGAGCCGGCATGGACTGGGAAGAGGCAGCTGAGCCCTGTCTCCCCTGCCCAGAGCTGCTGTGGGCATCGTAAAGCACTTAAGCATCATTCTTACATCCCCTGGGGTTGTTTTGAGGGAGGGACATGAAGTGCAGATTATAAAACAGGCATTCCACTCACTTTCCCAGCTACCCATCATGGCCTGGAAGCCCATGCCAGTTTCCCTGGGCTTACCATGTGACCTGGGCCAGTCAGGTCCACTTTCTGGTCTGGAACTAGGTTTTCTCTTTTCATTAAATGGGGCCTGTCTCCCAGGAATCTTCCCATTCCTGTTTGATGAGGGTGCCCTCTCTCTCCCTTGCTCAACAGGAACCACAGAACGAGTATGCCTGGTACAGGGCACAGCAGAGGCCTTGAATGCTGTGCACAGCTTTATTGCTGAGAAGGTCCGAGAAATCCCACAAGCAATGACCAAGCCTGAGGTGGTCAACATCCTTCAACCCCAAACCACGATGAACCCTGACAGAGCCAAGCAGGTCAGCAGGGGCAAAGACTGGGTTTCTGTAAAACCGGTGAGGTTCAGAAGACACTTCTCCCATATCACTAGATTACTGTGGGAGTTGAATAAGATAACGCTGATAGGACGTTTGTCGATCAAATACATGGTAGTAGTCAGTCGAATTATTAGGGAGTCACCCTAGGGACCCAAACCTCTTGGAGTGGGCTTGATTCAGAGAGAGAGTGAAAGTCTGGGAGATTTTGTCCCGGACCTGACCTCCCCCACCCCCAGTTCCTCCTTCCTGGGGTTCTCTAGACCCTCTCCTTCCTTCCACCTCATCCCATTGTCTCCCAGAGCAACCTGCCTCCCACTTCCTGTTCTCACCGGAAGTGACTTCAATGACAGCCCATCCACTTCCAGAAGAGTTGAGAAATGGCCTCAGACTCCCTCTCTCCATTAATTTTTATAGGGAGTAGCCGCTATTTTGGAGAAATGATGTTTTGCTAGCGAGAGAGGGGGCTGGTCCCTCTCCTACACAGCCCTCTCTAGGAGGGATGGAAGGAGGAGGGGAAGGCAGCGCCTCTTGGTTGCCTCAGTTACAGGGAAGCGGTGGCGTAGGGGCATGGCAGGGAGCGGACCAATCAGAACCCTGGCCTCTCTGGTTGCCATGACCACGGTGCTCACCGGGCAGGTGGGCTTGCTGCAAAGCCCCTGGCAGCGTGGCCCGGAATGGGTAGGAGGTGGAGGGCAGAGGAACTGCGCACACTCCCTGTTTTCTCTCCCCTACCCCACTCCCATGTACTTGCACACACGATAAGAGGGACCAGAGCCCCTGGCAGGAGGACAGGCCACCAGTGAGGCTTCCTTAACGTCTGTCTGGGAGCAAAGACTAGAGAGAGAGAGAGACCCTTGGTAAAAGGAATCTGGAATTCTTGGGGATTCTTACTACCCTGAGATGGGAGAAACCACAGGCCAGAGTTCCTCCAGGTTCCTGGGGAAAGGTGGGCGGAAAGCCCTGGAAGAATGCTGCCAAGCGGATCGATCATTCCCAAAAAGACTTCGGGCTTGGAGCTTGGAGCGCGGCTGCTGTCCTTGGTGCTGAAGTGGCTGTGCCAGGTCTCTCCCGAATCCCTTCCCACCAGCAGGCCACAGTTTACACACTTCACAGGGTGGCCAGGATATTGCCTCTTCCCTCCGCCTTGGTCGCGGCTACAAAGGGCTCAGAGTTCATGAAGAGTTTGCACATGTTGCAGGGAAAATGGGGTCAGCACCATCTGCGCCTCATACTTCCACCCAACCCCCTAATCCACAGGAACTCTGAGATAGTGGAATTGAAACATTTTAGAACCAGGATTTTATCTCTCCTTATTTATTACTTAGGGGGCTCTAAAGAATGAAAGAGATAATGGCTGAAGGCTCAGGCTCTGGAGTAAGATGTTGAGTTGAATCTTATTCTCATAACTTCTTACCTGTGCGACCTTGGACAAGTGACTTGATTTCTCCATGCCTCATTATTCTCATCTGCAGAATGAGATTCATTATGGTACCTAGCGAAGGGCAGTGATCAACGTTCACTGATGTTTGAAAAGCACTTAGCATGTATGCCTAGTACATAGAAAGTTCTCAAAAAAATGTTAGTGGCTGATATTATTCTGGGATTTTTAAGTCAGAGGACAGGTGTCTTTTTCTACATTGGACTTGCTGTGTTACTCTGGGTTCCTTTCTCTCCTGTAAGCCTCAGTTTCCTTTCTTTACAGTGTGGAAGCTGGGCCAAATCAGGGATTATAAATTGAAATGCCTCCGAGATTCAGCAAGGGAACATAAAGAATTGAGGACTCTGGCCTCATCAGAGAGATATAATGCCATCCCTAAAGGGGGCAGCTGCTACTCAACTCGACTCAATTCTTGCCCTTTGGGAATGTGGACAAAGTGTTGCCACATCTTACAAATTTTTCAGAAGAAGCCAGAAATATTTGAAATAAGCTGATTTTTTTTAAAGGTTGGCTCAGTCTTAAAAACACTATGTGGCTGTGGGCTGCCTATGGGCTGACTGTGGGCTGCCTATGGGCTGACTGTGGGCTGCCTGTGGCCTGAGGACCACCAGTTTGCCACCTCTGGGCTAAACCAGTGGTTCTCAGCCCTGACTGGTATCTGAATCATCTAGGTAGCTTAGAATGCAGATTCCTGAATCCCAGCCCAGAGCCACTGAATCAGAATTTCTGGGGTGAAATCTTGGGAATCTGAACACAGATTCTGGACTGCGATCAAATCCTGGCTTTATTACTTAATATCTGTATGACCTTGAGCAAGTTACTCAACCTCTCTTGCCTTTGTTTTCCAAGCCATAAAATGTGATAATAATAGCGCCTGGCTATTCTTGTAGGGTTCTTGTAGAGATTAAGTAAGTGACTATTTGAAAGCATTTACAAAAGTGTCTGGCAAATGGAAGCACTGTTAGCTGTATAATTATTGTTATACTAGCACTATTTGAATGTCTCTTCAGACTTCCCTATCATGGGGACAGATGTTCTCTGAGGCCTTTCTGGCCCTGAAACTCATACAGTTCTATGGCTCTGTGATTTCAAGATTCTCAATGTACATTAATCTAACACTGTACTGTTCTGATATCCTGGCACTCCAGGATTCTATGAAACTCCACCTGCGATCTCTCTAAGATACTGTGGTTCTACCACCCGGGCCTATCACGAAGACAGTTAACCATTTTCTGAGGGCTTCCCCTGTGCCAGGCACATTGAGTATTCCCAATAGCTGTATGGAGTAGCTGTGGTTACATCGTGTTGGAGGAGAGGAAACGAGGCACAGAAAGGTGAAGGCATTTGCTCTTACCATTCCTTGGTGAATGGTTACTTCATCCTTTTTCCCTCTGAAATGCTGTATCATACTAAATACCTCTTGACTCTTAGGTCTGGTTTTGTGCATTCTGTTCTATCCTCTTGTCAGACTTTTCTCTGGTGATTTTTTTTAAAATATAAATCAAGATATAATTAATGTACTTTACAGTTCACCATTTTAAAGTATACCATTTAGGGTGTTTAGTATATTCACAAAGTTGTGCATTGATCACCTACTGTAATTCCAAAACGTTTTCACCACTCCAAAAAGAAGCCCCATACCCTTTGGCAGTCACTGTCAATTCTCCCAGCTTCCCCTCCCTGTCCCTTCCAACCACTAACCTACTTTTGGTGTTTATGGATTTGCCTATTCTGGATGTTTTATATAAATCAAATGACATAATACATGGCCTTCTGTGTCTGGCTTCTTTCCCTTAGCATATTGTTTTCAAGATTAATTATTGTAACAGATGTCAAAACGTCATTCCTTTTTATGGCCAAATAATATTCCACTGTATGGATATATCACATTTTGTCTCTCAGCTGATAGTCATTTGGATTGTTTCTACTTTTTAGCTATTATGAAGAATGCTGCTATAAACATGTGTGTGTATGGTTTTGAGTTCTTTGGAGTATATACCTATGGATGGAATTGGGTCAGATAATACATCTAACTTCTTGAAGAACTATCAGACTATTTTGCAAAACGACCATACCACAGATGTGAGATTTAAATCCAGGTCTTCCCACAAGGGTAACAATGACAACAACCATTTCTTAAGTATCTACTATGAGCACATATTACCTGCACACTCACATGGCACCCTATGCTTAGCACATAGTAGGTACTCAGCAAATGTTGCTTGTTTGAATAAATGGATGATGATATGCCCATAAGGGCTAAGCAGAAATATAACTAAGGGTCAGTAGCCCTTGAATCAAGCTCATCATTTCGTGAATGATCTCAGTTAGGCTTCATAATAATTCTGTGGAGGACAAATAAATGTCCCTATTTTATAGATGATAAAAGGCAGACGCTCAAAAAGGTTAGGTCCCTTGTCCAGCATTAGTGGTGGAGCCAGGATTTCAAACCTGAACAAGTGCTTCCAGAGTCCAAGGTGGTTTTTCGGGGATATATGTGCACAAACTGCAAACCATTGGTCTGGCTACTACACAGTAGTTCATAGACCTTTTGAAGAGGTAGCCAATATTTAAAAACTAGGGTGCTTCCCATTTTACAAGTCAGAATGTCCAATTAATCTACAAAACTCAGATCAGGCTGTTTGTGTACCCAAATGCACAGCACCCTACCTCCCTGCCTACACATACATATACACACCACCACCAACAAAACCAGATGAGAAACACCTGGTCATCTCCATCCAGTCCCATTCCTGCTTGGTCCTGTAGGCACATCCCACTGTTCCTTCTTTCATCCATCCATTCATTCACATACTCTTTGCTGAATGCATACCAGGCATTCCCCTAGGCACCAAGAACCCAGTTGTAAACAATACAGACAAAAATCTCTGTCCTTGTGGATCTTACATTCTTTCCTGGGGAGATCGAAAACAAGCAAGTGAATAAGTAAATGTCAGAGAGTGAAAAGTGCTATGAAGAAAAATAAAGCAGGAAAAGAGAGAAAAAGAGTCCTGGGACATTTTTTTCTCCTAACTTTTTATTTTGAAAATGTTTAAGAATAATACAATGAACTCCTTATACACCACACTTAGATTCACCAATCATTAACATTTGCTGTATCTCTTTACACACGCGCGCTGGTTGGCTTTATTTGTTTGTTTGTTGGGTTGTCTGTTTCTTTGTTTTTGCTGATCCATTTGAAAATAAGTATAAATCTCATGACTCTTCACCCTAAGTTCTGCAGCATGCATCTCCCAAGACTAAGGACGTGTCCTATGTTGTTATGCTACTGTTATCACACCTACAAAAATTAACACCAGTTCCATGCTATTAGTTAATAAAAAGTTCATATTCACATTGTCCCAAAGTATCTCTTATATCTAGAAAGTATTTCTTTATCCAAGATTCAGTCAATATTCATGCATTGCATTGGGTTGTTATACCTCATTAGTCTCTTTTAATCTAGGATAGTCTACTATGTATATTTTTTAAGATTTTATTTTCTCTTTTTAAGATTTTATTTCTTTATTCGTGAGAGAGACACTGAGAGAGAGGCAGAGACATAGGCAGAGGGAGAGGCAGGCTCCCCACAAGGAGCCTGATATGGGATTCGATCCCAGGACTCCGGGATTACTAGCTGAGCCAAAGGCAGGTGCTCGACCACTGAGCCACCCAGGCACCCCAAGATTTTATTTTCTTAAAGTAATCTCTACACCCAATATGGGGCTTGTACTTACAACCCTGAGATCAAATCACACACCCCACTGATTGAGCCAGCCAGGCACCCCATCTACTATATATATAAATTTTTTTAAGATTTTATTTATTTATTCCTTAGACACACACACACACACACACACACACACACACAGAGGCAGAGACACAGGCAGAGGGAGAAGCAGGCTCCATGCAGGGAGCCTGATGCAAGACTGGATCCTGGGACTCCAGGATCACGCCCTGGACCGAAGGCAGGTGCTAAACTGCTGAGCCACCCAGGGATCCCAACTATATATTTTGAAGGTAGAGGTAACAGAATTTCTGATTGGATGTTTAGTGGAAGGGAAAGAGAGGACTCCTAAGTCTTGAGCCTGAGAAGTGAAAAGATGCATATTCCACGTACTGAAATGAGGAAGACCATGGTAGAAACACATTTGAGCAGATGAGTTCCACTTTGGATTTTAAGTTTGAAGTGTCCATTCTACATCATTTTGGAGATGTGAGGTTAGAGGTTGGATGCAAGTGTGGAGGTGTCTGTGCTAGGGATATAAAATAAGCAAATAAACAAGCTTTGATCATTGGGGTGGTAAGGCCTCTGAGGAGGTGCATTTGTGCAAGGACCTGAATGATGAGAGAGGTGAGCCTCCTTTTCTGGGACAGAGGATTCTAAACAAGGGAATAGCAGGTGCAAAGGCCCTGAGTCTGGATCAAGCTTGTAACTTGGAGGAACAGCAGGGAGTCTACTATGCCTGCCACAGAGTCAGCAAGAAGGATGGGGAGAGGGGGGGGAGAGGAAAGAACTGAAGTCAGATCAAGAAAAAACAGAGCAAGCAGATCAGTGGTTCTCAGCCTTGTCAAACTTGATGTCCTCTTTCCCCTACAAATATTTTCCCAGTCTGCTCATCTCTGAAATTATACACACACACGCATACTTATTTCAGTTCATGAAAAATGCATTTAATGTAGATATCTAACCTATCTAAATCTATAAGATTTTTAACAGTTTTATTGAGATATTAATTCACATACATACAATTCACCCATTGAAAGCATGCAGTTCAAAGTTTCTATAATATTCAGAATTGTGCATCCATCCCCACAATCAATTTTAGAACGTTTCATTTCCTCAGAAAGAAATCTTGATCCCCTTAGCTATCACTCCTCAATCCCCACAGCTCAGCACCACCCCCCAGCCCTAAGCCACCACTAATCTAATTTCTGTCTCTATAGATTTCCCTGTTCTGAACATCCATATAAATGGAATCATACAATATGTGGTCTTTTGTGTCTGGCTTCATTCACACAGCGTGTTTTCTAGGTTCATCTATGTTGTAGCCTGGATCAGTACTTTGTTCATTTAAATTGATTGCCAAGGAATATTCCGCTTGTACGCATGTACATTTTCTTTATCCCGTAAGACTTTTACATAAAGGAGAAATGAAAGGAAGGTGATTTGTTATAAGACGAGATGAATTTTAATATGTAAATGTTCAGCCAATTGTGTAGAAGTAATGAAATAGCTGCTATTTCATTACACCTAGCATTGCTTGAGTAGGAGAGACATTGACAAACACAGTGATCCAGGGTGTCATATCAGAGTCGTAAATAAGACACGTGGCATTACTACTGTTGTCATGGTTTTTTAAATAATGAACATTAAAATGGATAAAATCTTAAAAATAATAATTTATACTATTAAAAATATTTATTTATTCATGAGAGACACAAAGAGAGAGAGAGGCAGAGACACAAGCAGAGGAGAACCAGGCTCCCTGCGGGGAACCCAATGCGGGACTCAATCACAGGACCTGGGGATCATGCCCTGAGCGAAGGCAGACACTCAACCACTGAGCCACCCAGGTGCCCCTTCCTGGGCTCTGAGATTTATAAATAGATTTTTCACCAACATGAATGTCCAGGGAGTCATTTAAAAGTCAAACGGTACCTGGATGGTTTGTTGCTTCATGGTTGTGAAGAACTGACTCCCACCTTGTGGGGTGCAAATATCTAAGGCCCTGCCCACCACATGCCCATATCTGCCACTAGTCATCGTCTTGACAACCAAAACTGCTCCCTCAAATTTCCCAAACACCCCTGGGGTCTGGCTCAGAGGCAAAAAGGAGAGGCAGGGGTGAGAGCCTAAGGGGGTGGAACCCACAGGTCTGAGAGGACATAGGAGGAGGAATTTATGTGTCTAAGTGCTCTTAGATATGTGAAAGGAGACTTTTGGTTTTGAAATCTAACCACCCCCCATCCCCCGCACCCAGAATTAAGATTGATGGGATTTGCAGCAGCAAAGGATGGGCCTTTCTGTCCCACGCAAGAAGGGGACCACTGTATTTAAGTGCCCAATTGTCTCCCTGCTGCCCTAGATATAGGGTTTCTTTATCTTCATTTTACAGATAGGACAACTGTATTTAGATTGCTAGGGCAGCCATAACAAAGTAATGCAGACGAGGTGGCTTAAGTAACAGAAATTCATTTTCTCACAGTTCCTGAGGCTAGAAGTCTGAGATCTGGGACAGTGTTGGTTTCTTCCGAGACTTCTCTCCTGGGCTTGGAGATGGTTGTCCTCTCTGTTCTCACACCGTCTTTCCTCTGTGTGTGCCTATGTCCTAATCTTTTCTTCTTATGAGAACACCAGTCATATTGGATCGGGGCCCACCCCAATAACCTCACTTAACTTTAATTGCCTCTCTAAAGACCCTCTCTCCAAATACAGATATATCCAGAGGTACTGAGGGGTTAGGACTTCAACCTCTGGGAACACCTAGTTGGCTCAGCGGTTGAGCATTTGCCTTTGACTCAGAGCATGATCCCAGACTCCTGGGATTAAGAGTCCACATGGGGCTCCCCACGGTGGGGGAGGGGCCTGCTTCTCCCTCTGCCTGTGTCTCTGCCTCTCTCTCTCTCATGAATAAATAAATAATATCTTAAAAAAAAAAAAGGGGGATCCCTGGGTGGCGCAGCGGTTTGGCGCCTGCCTTTGGCCCAGGGCGCGATCCTGGAGACCCAGGATCGAATCCCACATCGGGCTCCCGGTGCATGGAGCCTGCTTCTCCCTCTGCCTGTGTCTTTGCCTCTCTCTCTCTGTGACTATCATAAATAAATAAAAAAAAAATTTAAAAAAAAAAAAAAAAAAAAAAAAAAAAGGACTTCAACATCCGAATGGGGAGGGCAACAATTTGGCCCATAACAAAAGTGAGGTGACTTTGCCATAGGGTAGGTAACAGGACAGAACAGGAATCCAGGAGTCTGGATTTCAGCCCCTCCACAACCTGGGTAGTCTTGGGGCGAGTCCCTTCATCTCATGGACCTCAGGTGGCTTATCTGTAAAGTTAGACTTTTTTTTTTCTTAATTTTTATTTACTTAGGATAGTCACAGAGAGAGAGAGAGAGGCAGAGACACAGGCAGAGCGAGAAGCAGGCTCCATGCACCGGGAGCCCGCTGTGGGATTCGATCCCGGGTCTCCAGGATCGCGCCCTGGGCCAAAGGCAGGCGCCAAACCGCTGCGCCACCCAGGGATCCCTAAAGTTAGACTTAATGACTGCTTCTCTGGGGCTGGGAGTCAGAGTGTTTAAAGATCTAGAAGGTGGGGGGATCCCTGGGTGGCTCAGCGGTTTAGCGCCTGCCTTTGACCCATGGCATGATCCTGGGGTCCCGGGATCGAGTCCTGCGTTGGGCTCCTGGCATGGAGCCTGCTTCTCTGCCTGTGACTCTGCCTCTCTGTTTCTCTCTCTAGGTCTATCATGAATAAATAAATAAAATCTTTTAAAAAATAAAAAAAATAAAGGTCTAGAAAGCGTAAGCACCAGTGCAAGCTGGGAGCACCCACTGTCCTGGAGGGCAGGGGAGGTCCCAGGAGTCCCAGAGGCATGGGACAGGGTGGCTGAGAGTCTACTGAGAGGACTTGGAGTACTAGCTCTTTTTTTTTTTTTCTTTTTAACCAACCAAAGTGGATGTATTTCACTATTTTTTAACAAGCAGTAGGACCATACCAGTGCATATCAGGGGGCACAGCAGGCCTGATTTGGGACGCATTTGGGAGGGGGGCGGGTTAGGAAAACAAGCTCTAGCCTACTGTTGCTGTTCTCCACCCTCCATCCTAAAGACCCTCCCTCTCGCTCCACACGCAGGCCAAGCTGATCGTCCCCAACAGCACCGCGGGCCTGATCATCGGCAAGGGGGGCGCCACAGTGAAAGCCGTGATGGAACAGTCGGGTGCCTGGGTGCAGCTGTCGCAGAAGCCAGAGGGTATCAACCTTCAGGAGCGAGTGGTGACCGTCAGCGGCGAACCGGAGCAGGTGCACAAGGCCGTGAGCGCCATCGTGCAGAAGGTACAGGAAGACCCCCAGAGCAGCAGCTGCCTCAACATCAGCTACGCCAACGTGGCTGGCCCCGTGGCCAACTCCAACCCCACCGGCTCACCGTACGCCAGCCCCGCCGACGTGCTGCCCGCCGCCGCCGCCGCCTCGGCCGCCGCCGCCTCCGGCCTGCTGGGCCCCGCGGGGCTGGCGGGCGTGGGCGCCTTCCCCGCCGCCCTGCCGGCCTTCTCGGGCACCGACCTGCTGGCCATCAGCACGGCGCTTAACACGCTGGCCAGTTACGGCTACAACACCAACTCCCTCGGCCTGGGCCTCAACTCGGCCGCGGCCTCCGGGGTCCTGGCCGCCGTGGCCGCTGGTGCCAACCCCGCCGCCGCCGCCGCCGCCAACCTCCTGGCGTCCTACGCGGGGGAGGCCGGGGCCGGGCCCGCCGGAGGGGCCGCCCCGCCGCCGCCGCCGCCCCCCGGGGCCCTGGGCTCCTTCGCCTTGGCCGCCGCCGCCAACGGCTACCTCGGGGCCGGGGCGGGCGGCGGGGCGGGCGGCGGGGGTGGCCCGCTGGTGGCCGCCGCAGCCGCAGCCGGGGCGGCGGGGGGCTTCCTGACGGCGGAGAAGCTGGCCGCCGAGAGTGCCAAGGAGCTGGTGGAGATTGCGGTGCCTGAGAACCTGGTGGGGGCCATCCTGGGCAAAGGGGGCAAGACGTTGGTGGAGTACCAGGAGCTGACAGGCGCCCGCATCCAGATCTCCAAGAAGGGAGAGTTCCTGCCGGGCACGCGGAACCGGCGGGTCACCATCACGGGCAGCCCTGCGGCCACGCAAGCCGCTCAATACCTCATCAGCCAGCGGGTCACCTACGAGCAGGGAGTGAGGGCCTCAAACCCCCAGAAAGTGGGATGAGGCCTGTGGTGTGTGCTCCCACCCTCCTCCTGCCCCTCCTCCTCCTCTTCCTTCTCCTCCCCTCCCCCGCCCCCCCAACCCCAACTCCTGACCTCAGCTGGGGTGTCCTGCTCCTCCTCGTGGGATGGGGCTGGGTAGGCCTGACTGCACCCCCCCTTCTGGTAGTCATAGGCAGGATTGAGTGATGGCTGGGGATGGGGCCCAGAAGCTCCCTCCCCAGCTCTGAACTGACTCCTTCTTCTTCCTCCCTATGCTTGACTGGGGCCTGACCCTCCTCTCCCAGGGCCCGGGTCTGTGTGATATCTGTATATATTGCATTTTGTTGATTTTAATAGAAAACAAAGCGTTATTTTCTCTTTCTTTCCCTCCTTTTTTTTTTCTTTTTTCTTTTTTTTTTCCTTTCCTTATTATTTTTTCTTTTTTTCTTTTCCCCATTTTTTTTTTTTGGTAAGGATTCCCCCCCCCCCTTTGTAAGTTTTAATTTCCATATGGGAGGAGGGGAGGGAGCCTCTGGGCCACCTAGAATGAGGGGCCTCCCCTAAACAACACCCCACCTCTTCTGCTTTCAGTTCCAGATCTGGGAGAAGGGATGGGAGTAGAGGTAGCAGAGGAGTCTGAGCTGAAATGGGGTATTTGGAGCAGGGACCCCAGAGTTTCCAGATTTGCTCAGCGACTCTACCCCTTTTGGAGTTGCCTCTCCGAGGTGGGGCTGATCACTGTTTTGTTGTCAGGTCATATGGGGTGAGGGTGTGCAGTGCTGCTGGGAATGAGGCCAGCTCTGGGATTGGTCCAGTCCTGTGGGCAAGACTCTTGTGAGAAGCCAGAACAACTTCCTGTGGCATCTTCTATGGTTTTACCTAGAGTAATGGGAGTGAAGGTCCCTGTTGGGATGTCACAGTGTCAAGTACTTTTCTGGGGTGCCACTGGCACTCCTTACGATGTCACAGGAAATAGTTCCCCAGAGGTCACTTCCTGTGATGATAGGACAGACAGGTACTTCCTATGATGTCTCAATGGGCCTTCCTCGAAGGTTATTTCAACGACATCATGGGGGCATGTACTTCCTGTGGTATCTCCAGGTTATTTCCTGTGACATCATTGGGATGGAGCATGCACTTCCTGAATTGGGCCATGGCCAGTCACTGACTCTCTTCTTCACCCGCACCCCTCTCTGGTGGGTCTTGGCCTGGAGGGTCTGCCTAGGAAGAGAATAAGGGGTGGGACTTGGAATCATATCTGGAGGACTCTAAGGAAAAAGACCCAATATTGTCAGGGTCATCTCTATCCAAATACACCAAGTCTGTGAACTCACCTGGCAGGGAGGGGTGGGAGACGGAGCTAGTGAAAACTGTTAAGACCCCCATTCCCACCCCCGCCTTTCGTGTGCATGCTTGTGTCTGCGTGGCTTTGTTCCATTGAGTCTGGTGAGCCAAATGTGTGGTGGCTCTGTTAGGCCACCATGACCCAGTGTAGAGTTCAGTGAGCCACACGGTAGGGTCCCTTGAGCTGGAATGCTTCGTGTGGTCTGATAGATTAGATTGGCTTGTGGTTTCTAGCAAGCTGGAGTACTTTGATAGTATCCGAGGGATCAGAATGTTTTGGTGCTCTTGCCATGGGCCCTGAGGAGCTAGAATGTTCTAGCAATGGAGTCTGCCAAGCCAGGCAGCCCTGAGAGTTGGTTTGGGAGTGGCTCCCTGAGCACTGTGGCTGTGGTCAGCTCTAAGACCTTGTTGGCAGGCTGAGATTTCAGGGCCTGACAACCCTATGGACTTAGAATAGCTGAGACCCACCTCTACCCTCATCCATCTCCCCCTCCCCCTTGGAGACCACCTCCACTTCCTCCAACCCAAAGCAGGGCCCCCAGTGCCCTGGTTCCATCATCAGCATCTCTGGGGGAGGGGCACCCCCATGCCCACCCTCTCCCCCGTTTGTCCCCCTCCTAGGTCTTCCAGACCCTTCTCTACTCCATGGCTTTGGGGGAATCAGGCCTCCTCGTCTCTCTCCCACAAAGGGAGAGAAGAAAAGCCAGAGACAATTCCTACCCCTAAAGCCTGGGAGACCCCTGCCCCTCGCTAGAGAGCCACCCCCAAATCAAAATGTGAAAATCCCTAGAAAGCAATAGCCTTCAAGGTACCTTGCACTGAATTTCCCACCCCGGCCCTTCCACCCGATGGGAGGCTGTAGCTTGGGCACTAGGGTGACTTTTTCCATGCCCTCTTCATCTCCAGGGTGGAGGGCAGGCCCCATTTTCCCATCCCCCACTTCCCATCGCTGCTGCCCCCACCCCTAATCTCCAGATTGAACCCAGATGGAGATTCGAGTGCCAAAACAATTCTTGATGTAACTTTGTACATATCTTCTGCAAGGGGTAGGGAGAGGTGGCCCTATGGGCCACTGCTCCCCTCTGCCTCTCAAAAGACCCTATGGTATTTCACAGTATCTCCACCCACAGTGGGTATTGCAGTGTCTAGCTGGGATATCCCCCCTATAGCCCCACCCCCCCCCAGGCCCCTATGAGGAGGGGAAGGAGCCAGGGAGAGGTAAAACATGGTCTGGGAGTGGGGAGGTGGGATTTGAAAGTGCTCATTTGCATATCATTTGCATCCTCTGCTGCCCTGGTTTGTCAGATGCTTTCTATAGCCCCTTTTGCAGGAGGCTGGGTCCCAAGCAGTGGGACCCAGTACTCTTCTCACACAGACACGTCTCTGGAGGCTGGGCCTCCCGGAAAAGTGTTCCCTTGGGGTATCTGTGTGACAACCCCCTCCCTACTCACATTTCTCGGGGACCCCCTACCCCACCAGCCAGGGCTATCTGAAAGGTAGTTTGCTAGCTCAGTGAGCTAGCTAGTTCACTCACCAGGTTGGTGAGTGGAGAGCCACACACCTTTCCCTGTTTTTACCCTAGGAAACTCATGCTACCATCTTCTCCATCCCTTGAAAGTCTTTTCTGCATTCTGACCTCAATCTTTTGTGCTGCAGTGTGTCCAGAGGGGACACAGATGTGGGGTCAGAGATGGGGATCATTGAAAACCCACTGCCTCTCCCCGCCCCTTCCCTATTAGCCAATCAGATCTCAGAGACTCTGAGCGGCCTCCTTGCACCCTGCTCTTCAGCACCCAGTAGGTGCTTAATAAGTGTTTGCTGCATTGAATTGTCTCCACATTCCTTCCCATTTGCCCTCAGGCTCCTAACATCTTCCCTCCCCCCCCCCAGTGTCCCCCCCCTTTCTTGGGCTCCCTCTGGCTTTCTACTTTCTCTCCTTGTGGCTCCCATTGTTACCTGTCCTGTCTCTATCTTTGTCTGTCTTTTCCCTTCTTCTCACCCCTCTCAACTCTTTCCTCCGCCCACCTCCCCCTTGATTAAAAAAAAAAAAGTGCCAAACTTCCTTGGAACTGAGCCGCTCTGGGGGGGAGGGAACCTCAGATAGAGGGGAGGAAATGGGACCATCTCTCTTGGAGGAGGCCCTAAGAGGCATTGAAAAAGTCTGTGGACATTTAGCTAAATTGGGTCCCCCTTCCTCACCCCTCCCACCCGAGTTTTTCTTAGAATCTTTGTAAGAAAAAAGAAAAAAAAAAAAGACAGAAAAAAAAAAACCCTCCCCTTCAGCTAATCCCTAACCTTTTGGATCCCCCAAATTCCACCAGCCGGGGAGAACCTCACTTGCCTCCTTCGGGAAAATCTGTAGAAATTGGAGAGTGGGGAGACTAGCTCAGCCCCTCTTCTGCTGGCCCGAGGGACGGTGCCAGCTGGATTCCAGAGAAGGACCTCAAAGCACTTATGAGAAGAAGGGGTTCAATGTGCCAAATTCACCTCCTTCATCCCCCATCTCAGGGGGCTCTGAGCCAACCTGCCCCAGCCACCTTCTTCCGCCCTGTCCCAACCATCTCTCCATGGGCAAGGAGGCTTCACTGCAATAATTATTAGGGGATCAGAAGGTGAAGATCGTGCCATCTTTATCTGCCCTAACGCCTGCCTTGGGCTTGTAGGTGGGAATTACTTTGGGTACCCCAAGTGGAGTGGTAAGAGTGGGCTTGCAGAGGGTTGGGGACCTATACTTGGAAGAATAGGGTACCACTTCTGAGTAGTATTTCTTCTCCCCTTTCTTAATCGCCAAGTCCCTCAAAGTCCCCTCTTTCTTTTTCTCTTGCCTCTTCCTCCATCCCTGCACCCCCCACCCTCCTTATTTTGTTTCTGATTTGGTGGCCTACTGTTTGGAAAGTGAGGGGATTCCCTTGCATTGATTACTGCTATTTCAAGACCTGGATTCGAGGTCGCGATGTGCTGAGCGGTGGGAAAGGTATTTAACTAAGGGTGGCGACGAGGGTGGCAGTTTGGGCGTCCAGGCTGCTGATTGGGTGCAGGCCTCGCCTCTCGAGACAGCCTGGCAGGCCTTCGCGCTGTTTGCCGCGCACCTGCCCCGCCGACTTTGAACCCCCAGGCCGGCTGTCGCGAAAGCCTGGCCCGGATGTCACGACGGGGAGAACGGGGGTCGCGAGGCCCACGTTGAGGCCCTGAGGGCCGGGGACACACGTTTACGGCTCTCGTGGAGTCGCGGACACCCAGCCCTGGCATCCGATCCCTCGCCACTGCAGTCAGCTGTCTGGACGCCGCGGTGGAGGGGCTCGTCTCCGTGGCGCCGCTGCTGCTGTGTGTAAGGTCCGTCTCCGTACCCTCTGCCAGTCGCGCTGGGGAAGGCTGGGCCGCAGGGAGGGAGATGGGGGACGTCTCGGGGGGGTGGGGGGTGGGGGGGCTGCTGGTTTTTAACCCCTTCTCGGCCAGTCCAGGACACTCTTGTCTCCCAGAGATAATGGGGGGGACCGCCTAATCCCCTCCCCACACCTTTCCTCCTCCCTACCCGCTCCCCCCACCCCCAAAACCACCAACCTCTCATCTTCTAAGTGACTCCATCACCACCGGCCACCGGGACCTGCGGCCTCATTGCTCCAGCCCGCCCCACTCGACCGTCAGACTCGCTCATCGAACTCTTTTTGATTAACCCTTTCTGTGTTCATCCCACGGAAAACTGTGTGTCCGGCGAGGGGGAGGGGGAGGCGAGGGGCAGTAGCTACCTTTCCTCCATCTCCTCCCACCGCCCATGCCTCCCCACCCGCACCCCATCCCATGCCCTACCCCATCCCTCACCCCTAGGGTCCTCCCCGCCCTGGGGCAACTGACCCTTTATAAATATCTCTGCTGTTTGGCTTTGTCCCTTTCAAAGGCGGGGCCAGGGGCGTGGCCTGCTGCAAGTGGCGCGCTCAGTCTGGCCCCGCTCCTTTCTGTGCCCCCCCCACTCCCCACCCCTTCATTGTAAATAGTCACTTTTGTACTGGGTTTGAGCCAGGGGACGTGGGGAGTCATTTTTTTTTCTTTGTGTTGGCATCTCAGGCCCCTGGAGGCATGGCCCACATCCCGGTTACATTTGGGAGAATCCCAGAGTGTGTCCTCTCACCTGCCCCACCAGCGCTAAGGATTTCAAATAATCAGTATTACTCCTAGAGGGAAGGTGGTACACAGATCCCCTGGCAGGGAGGTGGGAGAGGCGTGGAAAGGTGTAGTCTGACAGAAATGTCCCCGTTGTCCCCATCTATGAAATGGGTTCGCCCTCCCGGTTCCCTGAAGAGCCTCAGTAAGGTGAAGTTAGAATCTCTCTTCCCCACTCTCTGTTTGGGACACACAGGGTAGGAGAGTGGGGGTGAGGGTATGACTGTCTTTGCACAACTGACCCCTAAATCCTTATCGGGACCTTAAGCTCGCCTCTTCCCAGGCTTGTTCTCTCCCTTGGAAAATGGGGGGCTTGGAGGACCCGTAAGGTCCCTTGGGTGTCCCTAATCCTTAGATTAGCTGCCCAAGCCCAGAGCTGGCCCGCTGCCTGCTGTCCCACCCTTGCATTACTTTTCTTGGGCCCAGACCATCCGCCTTGTGGCCATGCCTCCAGTGCCTCCATTCAACCCCTTCTAACTGATTCCTTCCATCCTCTGCGACCAGAGACGCCGCCCACCTCCCCCCCACCCTCCCCCACCACCTCCAGAAGCTCCTGGCTGGGGCCCGCTGCCCTCTCCTCTCTCCTCCCCCACATTGCCATGCCTGGGCCACGCCCACCCCCACCCACCCACCCCCAGTGTCCGTCGTGTGACCTAGTGCACCATGTATTAGCTTCCATGGCCCCCACCCCGGCCCCCACCACACCCCTCCCCTCCTCCCTCGGCGACTTCACCTTTTTTTGCCGCGATAAACGCCATCTCAGCATCTGTGTCTAATGTTGTCTTTTTTGCTTGACATCACACACTCCTTCTTAACCCATCCCCTTCCCTCTCCCTCCTCCCCGCACCTCCACCCTCATCCTAAATTCTTTCCCCCTTTCCCTCGGGGCTCTGGGTATCTAGGGGAGGGGGTGGGGGGGCCCTGAGGATGGGTCCAGGAGGGGGAAGGAGGGGAGTGGTGGAGTATTCTCTCTGGACTGGGTGAGCACCCAGGGCAAGTGTGTCCGAGGGGAGCAGGCGTCCAGGTTTAGCTTCGGGGATCTCAGTGTCCAATCAGGAGGGCCAATGCCACTATTGCCACTACATATACTCGGCACCACAGTCCCACAAACACCCTCGACCCACGTTCACACACAGCATTGCAAACGCACAACCCCAGGGAGAGTCAGGATAGCCTAGGGTTATGGTTTTGAAGTCAGGTAAGATCCAGATTCAGATCTCAGTGCTGCTACGGAATCCTGGGATTTTGACCCTTAGAGCCTCCATCTCCCTATGGATAAAATGGAGATGTTTTAATGCTATTTCTATGGTTGATGCTAGGATTCAATACACCATCCACTTAAAAGAAATCATTGGGCACGTACAATGTGTAAGGCACCTTTCTGGGTGCTGGACATAAAGCTGTTAACAAAACAGACCCCAAAAATCTCTGCCTTCATGGAGCATATGTTCTACTGGAAGCTGGAAATTCTTCTTTAGTAGAGAACCTGGCACATGGGACTCAAAACAATTCAGAGGTTGCAAACCATTGGTCAGCAGGCCTATCTGGTGTACATGTAATCTCGTTTGAC